TGGGGGCGCGGCTGGAGATGTTCTTAGGCCGGCCTGCGGACTTCTTCAGGAAACATCCTGAGGTATAATCATCTTGTATCTTTCACAGTTTCAACATCATTACTTATGCAAATTTATTGTCATATGAGAACATTTCAGTAACTGTATGATTACTGGTGCTAGTCAAGGAAATGTACTAGTTGGTGTATGCTTAGTTGATCTGAAGTATTCATGTTCTCCCTGTAATTTATCTTTGAGGGACATGACATCCCGGAGCATGAGCTGCCACATCCATTTACTCAAACAAAATCAAGTGTGGCTCAGAGCACACCAAGAGTTGTTACTGAAGTTGTATTTGCCGCGCCATCACCAAGCCTGGCTGAACAGCCGGCTGTTACACTGTCGCACATGTCCCAGTCTTTCAAGAGAAGGTTCTCACAGAGATCTTCAACCGGCCCTGCAACTGCCAGCACAACCGGTCTGCCGCCAAAGGCTGAGTCTACTGCTCCATCTCCATTGGGCAGGAAGTTGATGCTCAATTCTACTTCTGGTGGCATAGATCATGAGTCCCAAGTGCAAGACAAAAGTAGCAAGGATGTTGCACTCAGGTTTGGTGTTACAGAAGGGACTCCTGGCAAGTTCGCCTCTACACCAGTGAGATCAATGGCAGGCACACCGAACCTTGAGACCCCACAGAGGCCAATATCTGCTACTGTGTGTGACACACCACCTCCAAAAACGGTCAAGCGATCAGCTAGAGCCAAGTTGTTCATGACACCTACAAAGGATGCAAGCAGAATGGAAGAAGAGAACCAAAGCATGAGCAGCACATCTCCAAGCGATGGCGATGATGAGCTGCTCGGTTTCCTTCCAAAGTCCCTCTCGCAGTCGGTAAGTTCTTACTCATACTGATCATTGGTCAACTCATTTTTGCTCCTCTGTGAACAAAGGATGACACATTTGTTACTTACAGGTGAAGGAGAAGGAGAAGAGAACTTTGGAGGAGAAGGAAACAGGCTATGCAGATCAGGTTCAGCGGCAGAAGCTCATATCATGTCTGCCAAGCACCTTTGACATTATCTTCCTTATCTATCAGTCGAGGCAGCGAACTGTACTGACAAAGCAGGAGCTCATCCACAAGATAATCGAAAGTAACCCGAAGATTGTTGACAAGGGTAAGTGTGAGCTGTGCTTTCTATCTTTGTCATTTCAGCTTGTTGTCTGCGATGTGAACTGACGTTGAACTCCTAAATTTGCAGGTGAAGTCGAAGAGCAAGTGAGACTGCTTCTAGAGTTTGTCCCAGAGTGGATCTCTGAGAAGACTGCAAGAAATGGAGATGTTCTCTGCTGGTAAACATTGCTTATCCGATGCATAAATATTGAACTTTCTACTATTTACACTCCATCATTCTTAGATGTCCTAATTTGTGTTAATGTTGATTTTCAGCATCAATACGGCACTGAGCCAGTTTGAGGTTCGACAAAGGTTGTCCGGCGTCGAGTAGGGTGGTGCACAAAATTGTTTCACCTTGTTGAGAAATGTAGCAGTATATCAGTGCAAGCCTAGGTGCTGGAAGATACTGTCGAAGTTGACGCTCAAGTTCAGACACTGCCCAGTTTAATTTCAGTTCTCAATGGCTGCTCAATCGTGTTCAGACGCAAGACGCAACAACCCCTGACTCAGTGATTGACATGTGTAGCTGAAGTATTCTAACAGCTGATGATGTGTAAAACCCCATGCTCCGAGATGTCTCTGGATAAAATGATGTTTGTTGTCCTTGATCTGGGCCTCAACTATGCAAACATTTTAATTCTGGCTGTCGTTCAGGCATTTTGTGTTCTTGAATGGCTCGGTCACAGTACTTTCTTTTTGAAGCAAGTTTAAAATAAGTGTGACGGTACTTTATGAATCCTGAAAATTTCTAACAACCAGTCACATCATGTTATGGAGTAAATTAAGCTTGATACCGAGGCCGTAGCTCGCCTGCTCCCAGCTTCCACAAATCCATGAACGGAGCTGGCCCTGCTCTGTTTTTTCGTACGTGGATGCCGCTTCCCGGTTTGGAGAGGCGTCCACATATGAAAAAACGGAGCGGCATTTTCGGTGATCCCAGGAATCGGGAATCCTGGATTTGGAATTATTTACGAGCAAATGCCACCGCTAAGTGCCTTACCTGTTTGATAGACGTCGCTCGAAATATCCGAATCCTCATTCTCCTCTGTTCTCCAGCTCGTCAACCCTAACCGCCCCACCGCCGCCATCTACTCACCGCTGGTGAACGTCTTCCGGCGACCCTGCCGACGGTCTCTTCCTCGAGTCGCCCTTCCCCGACCGCGAGTCCTTCCTCTCCCTCGCCGCCCCAACCTGCAAGCAGGGGGCACTCCTGCCGTCGACGCTGCTCCTCTCCCCCGTCGTCGCAGCTCCAGAATCTCAAGGTGAGCTTGTCCAGATGTGCAACCTCACCCTGTCCATTCATTTTACAGAGCTCAGATGTTTGTATGTACAGATGCATCCTTCTGGTTCAGATTTTTTTATGTCCTGTCTCACACAGTTTGTAGTCCCTGTACAGATTTACAAAGCTCAGATGAGGTTTAGCCACTACTTTCCCATTTAGAAATGAGAGCATACAATCTTTTTATAGATGAGGTAGTCCCTGTACAGATTTACAAATGAGAGCATACAATCTTTTATAGATGAGGTAGTCCCTGTACAGATTAATAAATGAGAGCATACAATATTTTTAGATGACATGAACTTTTATAGATGAGAGCATACAATCTTTTGAAGATGAGATGTTTGTTAACTCATAGGTTGTGTATGTACAGATGTCATCTGACAGTGAAAGTGACGATGAAAACTATTATGAAATGAAGAAAAGAATGGTTCGTGCCCATGCACAAGAAATGAACATCATGTATCTGAGTGCATCAACCATATTTGAGAAGTATTTGTGACAATTGAGTGATGAAGGCCGATCCTAGGACATCTATCTTGAGTGGATTTGGATGGTTGCAGGAGACTACCGATACACCCAGAGAGACATTCACCATGCTGAGAATGAAGGCAACGGTATTCCTTGAACTTCATGACTTGTTGAAGGATAAGTATGGGCTCGTCCATTCCCTTTGTTAGCAGTTACAACTCTCTTGCTATTTTCTTCTG